AAAACACAAGAAGACCTGAAAACGTACCTGCGAGGCGTAGGGCCCGTCAGACGAGACAGTCGCATGGAAAACAACATACTGCATATCCGTAAGCGTGCACACAATATCAAACATCAGCTTCGACCTATCCTTACACTTCACAGTCACCACCGAGTAATCCTTCTCCTCACACCTCTCGATTGTCACCTTCCCATCCACCATTGCCACACAATCCCCTTCATAGTCCCTGTCAGCAAATAACAGCTGGTGGAGCCGCCTATCAATATGCGTGGTGGACCCCACCGAAAGGCTCGTCCAGGCCACGAATTCATCCTCACCCCGCAAGATATTGCAGAGCTGCTCCTCCGCGGAGGATATTCGGGCCGGGCCATCTTCTGAGCTGTCATTACCAATATAAAAGATGCATGCTATGCGGCGATTGTGGGTCCACACCTCAGCAGCCGTGACGCTGATGTGCAGGCCAGCTAGGACTGCCGATATTTCCGAGAGGAGGCCTGGCCTGTCCCGGCCGATGAGCTCGATGGCCGTGTGGGCTTGATCGGGTGTCGGGTTGGGCCCGGCCCGTTTTCCCGGACGGGCCTTGAGGATGCCGGAAGTGGTTCCTTTGGGCCCCAAGGCCTGTATAGTTTTCGTATAACTCTTAATGATTGACATACACATAANAAAAAAAAAAAAAAACTTGGGTCTAATTGTGGCTTAGTTAGAGGGTGTAGTTGTAATATTTTCATAGGGGTATAGTTGTAGCATATCCACAAATGCAAGGGTTTCTTCGAAATGGTTTTGTTTTTATAAATTGGGGGAAATTTAGAACCGAATCAAAACTCTAGTGGCCTTTTTCTGTAATTTGGAAAGTTTTCTGTATCGTTATGCTATAAACTCCTAGACTTCAGTGGTGGTTATTGTAGTTAACTAGTTATCCCGTTGTGTTTACTTAAGCGGAATTTAGTAATGACATAAATTAATTAATTAAGTGGTTTAAGTGATGGTTTCTCTTTCAACTGAACATCTAACAATAAGAATTGAAGAACAAAAAAAACACCTTCTCAATGTGTTCGATTGTCCTGCTGTCGGTAATCTTTTGCCCTTGTTGATCAGTGACATGAAACACTGTCGACAGAAAGTGATAGAGACCGTAAGTCAAACTGATAAATCTTCAATCACAAACCTAACTTACATTTAGAAAAAATAAAACCATGCAGGGACAGGTGTTACAGACTTACAACTATATCATGTGATTGATACTACTTGAGAATTACAAACTTGACCGATTAGCTACTAGAAGTAGTTAACAAAGTGGATCTTTATAATGGGTTTTTGTAAAGCTTTACATTTGAATAAAACATTAAGAAAAAAAAAAAAAAAGCATGCATACCGTCCATAAACCACCCTCCGTCTGAGGAGATGTAGGCTTTAGTTATTGTAAGGTCAAGGTCTGTAAGAATTTGGACTACCTCCAGCAATATCCCCGGTTTGTTCATGCTATCGACCTGAGTGAAAAAAAAAAGAAGAAAGTTTGATCTCATTATTTTACTGAATGCTTGTATGTGCATAATTTTGAGATTTTTTAGATTGATTAATTGGGTACTATCTTCTCTTTTGGTTGTTTTTTCGTGATCCTGACAGAAAAAACAGGAATTTACTAAAAAAAAAAAAACTTAAAACTCAGTTGGAGTAATTTGGTCGAAATCCGATTAACTTCTCCCTCTTAAACTTGCATTCATGCTTTCATCAATAGCTTAGCATAATTTCAAAAATTAGCAAGTGCAAGAATTGGGTCTTTACTCTTTCCTAAAGGGCAGTAAAGTTCTGTTGAGGATTACCTTGACTAGAGTGCAGTCGTTGCAACTAGAGTTGTCGACAGATACCCTGAAACAGGTGATTCGATAATTTAAAACAGGAGACCAAATATAAACAAAAGATTAACATTAATATACATACAATAAAATTGCAACATTATGAATTATTGACCATCTCAAAACTCAAAAGTCACAAACAAAGACATAATGTTATCAAGGAAAAAGGTAAAGATTTCAAAAAACTGAACTGTGGAGGATTTATTCTGATGCTTAACGTCTCATACTCAGGATCAAAGTACGCCCACGAAGCCATTTTCTACACTCTGCAGCAGGGACAAACAACAGGAGTTCAGGATTATATGCAAGAAATACAATCAACGATAGTATAAAGAAAAATAAATCAAACTTTTTTAAGATGTTATTAAATGAAACTTTTGGTAATGCAAATTGTAGTTTCCAGAGGTCCCAACTTTTTATACCAAATATAGACTGCTTCCCAAACAAGAAAGCATGAAAAGGTAATATAGTGCAAGTCAAAATGAGTGAAAGAAAAATCCCATATCGNTTGAATGAGTAGTAATCAATCACGAACTTCACTGGTTAGAGAGTAATTCCATCCCAGATGCAGCAAAACTTCATTGGGAAATAAGAATTACATTTTTTATGACAAGGAAAAGGAAATCTACCTGCAGAAATGATTATATTGTTATACAAACTGAAAATCCACAACACCCATTGAAATCATATAACGAAACAAGTAAACTTAGAGATAGAAAAGCAAGAAAGCCACGCAATTGGACTATACTGAAATGAAATAGACAGACAAAACCTTGGAGAAATTCATATCAATCAACTGAGGTCAAATTTAGATAAATCTCAGCCTAGTCAAAAGAACCAACTGTCATACTTGCAGAAGAGGACCCAAAACACGGAAAATACTTTAAATCACTAATTGAACTATTTTCTGCACCCCTTCACAGGGTTAATAATTATATAGTATTACCATCATCTAATTGAACTACCCGCGACTGATTAACTGATTGTACCGGAAAATCCTTTAAACAGCAGTACCACACAAGCAAAAATCACTAGCAAATCGCCAAAATTAGTGGCTAACAACATAAAAATTCAACCTTTATCACTGGTTGCAAACAAATTCAAGAAACAACATCAGCAACAAACCACACAAACAGCAAAAGAAAAAAAAGAAAATCAAGAACACAAACGCCGAGATAAAAAAGAAGAAAAAAAAAAAAAAGATTCAGCCTTCAATTCGAAACCATGAATTAACAAACCCTCTAAACAAAACAAAATATAAAATTTAAAAAAGAATGGGAAGCTTTCACCCACCTCCTTCCACAGCTCAAGCAGGATTTTTTTCTCCACACTAGCTGGACAGTTTTGGGTTCACATAAATATGACGTGTGATTGACTGTATCTAAAAATTGGAGGGAGAAAAAGAAAGGGAAAAAGGCAACACCTTTGGACGTAGAAAGAGCACTAATCCACACTATTATCAATAACTCTTTCTCTCTCTACAGACTACAATCTTGGGTGGAATCTACAAATGGTAGAAAAAAAAAAGAGTAGGGAAGAAAGAGAATAAGTAGTGTACGGATATGGAAAATTTTGTGTTTGTTAAAACTAAATGATATAAGCTTGATGGATAGCTTATGAGTAAATTTCGATCTTGTGATAGGTTATTTGATGTATGACAATAAAGTTAGTTGATATGATAAAAATATTTGATAGCATTGTATGACAAGTCAGTTGAAATAAAAATTTCAAATTGTCTTATTTAAAGATCTACATAAATAAACTTATGATATAAACTTGAGTTTTTTCAAAAAAAGATTGTCCTACCAAACTAAGTTTATTTATATAAATAAAGCTTATAAGCTAAGTACGATTCAGTTTTTCAGTTTCAATTTCACTATAATTCATGTTTCCCTTTTTTTGGGCTAAATTATAAATAAATGCATTGAAAACTCGAGTCAAAATAAAAAAAAAAATGAAGTTGAACCGTGCATTTCATTCTGTTTCGGTTCGGTTCGATTATTTTGACGTGATAATATTTAATTCAGTTTCGATTTGAATTTTTTCTTTGTAGTGCGTTTAGGATAATCTCTTTTGCTATGTTCTGTTTTTTGAGTTTTGCACGCACTATTTTCACTCCTAATGCTATGTTTGATAAAATTGGTTGATAAGCAAGTCGATAACTAATAACATAATTGATAGCTTATAAGTGAATTTCGAGCTAGCTTATGGTTTCTAGTTGAAAAACTAACTGATATTATAAAAGTGTTTGGTAAAATTAGCTGATAAATCAGCTGAAATAAAAAATTTCAGCAAACTTATTTGAAAAGCTACCTAAACAAGCTTATAAGATAAAGATAGACCTTTGAGAAAAAACTTGTCATATCAAACTAAGTTTATTTGTATACAGAAAGTTCATAAACTAATTAAATAAATTGTAAGTTAGTATATGGTGCTTAACAAATACACTTTAAATTTAAATATGGATGATCGGGGTTTTAGAGGAATAAAAAGTGCATGGGTCAATTATGGAAAAAGTTTTTGTCATTACATTAAGGTAATTGAGATTGGAGTTTGATAAGTACATGACAAGACTAATCTTTTTTTTTATTAAAAAGATTAATTAATGACGCTACCAAACAGTGGAGATTTGTGGAAATTACATTTTTACATTCTGGCCCACCCAATTTGAGCGCTCGATTCATTTGCAACCTACTTGCCTTTTTTCT